GGGGGCCGTTTCGCCCCCCCCCCCCCACGGGACGCGGGTTGAACGCCCTTTCAACTCAGGCTACAAGGGCCCTTTTGCCACTTAACCCGGCAGTTGCTGGGGTATTTCGCCACCCACCGTTTGCTGGGGGGGGGGCGTTAAACGCCCCCAGCCGATAACTCGAGAACCAATAGGCGCAGCGAAACGCACGAGGCGGCAAACGAAAGAGCGCGACAAGACGCTTCAGATGAGTACTTTAAAGTTGAATTTTGAGGTCACAGGTCAGGTCAAGGTCAGGTCAAACACCTGAAATCGGGCTTTCAGTAGCATGGACTTCAGGACATCGCAATGGGCGCCTCTCGCCATAAACTCTGTCAAAACGGTGCACAATCCATCTTATAAGGCCTACAAGAGTGTCAGCTTCATATAGGGGTCAGTCAAGCATAGGTCAGGGTCAAGGTCAGGTCAACCGGGTAGGCACATATCCCCGAAAATCAAAACTGATATTCGCAGCCTGTGACACATGTTTTATGGGTACTTTGGGGCGTAGAACACGATGGTGACATTCATTTTATCATATGTGTACGTGTTTGGCTCAAAAAGTTCAATTTAAGAAATTCATGTATCATGGTCGTGAAGTAGTCAAGAAAAATTGCCAAGATTCAGTTCAATATTTTGGAAAATGCGGAACGATAATCAATAATCGAAGATAGCCATTTGATTGATCATGGTATTGGCAGTCTAATGGCGTCTACGGCATGTCTGTATGTCTATTCTGTGATTTTATATGATTTTTTGAACATATGCCGTTTTTGGTCGAAAAGTCAGAAATCATGACGTCACTAAAACCTCGATATCTCAAAAATTTTCCGACCGATTTTTTTGAAACTTTGTCACAATAAACTTCAATTAATTCCCTACAGGTACCCAAAATTTGGCGCGCCTGCGGCGCGCCGTTTTTATACTATGGCCCGGCGAAAAAAGTGGGGGCGTTTAACGCCCCCCCCCAGCAACTCGCGGGTTAAGGGCCCTTTCAACCCAGTCAGTCAAGGGCCCTTTTGACTGCGGATCCCCCCTGAGAGAAATCCTAGATACGCCACTGGTCAAAATCAATTTTTGTTTGGAAATCAGAGTTAGCAGTTTGGTAGCACTGTTTATTTTACATCTTTTTGATCTTGAATATTTTTCGTTATCTTCAAAACTGTAAGCGTGACTGCTCTTCCCGCTAAGCTTTTATTGGGTCGAAAATGACAGAACAGGACATCCCTCTGACGTTATTTGTGACTAACCTTTCATAAGAGCTCTGGAAAAATTTGGTCACAAGGTGTAAAAATGATGCCCGGAGGGTCTTGATTGAAAGTTTGGTGGCGACATTTGCTATACTTTAGGAGATATCGACTGAAAAGAAGAGAGGGGGCCGTTTCGCGCCGCCCTCCCCCCCTCAACGTGGCTTTCAGTTGCTGCTCTCACAGAACTCTTGGTTATATTGCAACGTAGTGGAATTGCAAGTGGCAATATAAGCTTCCTGCCAGCGCCGGACCAGAGTTTAAACATGCAGGCTGAATTTTAACATTTAACTTTTGAATTTTTAAACCGTTGAGCTTTTTAGAAGTTGTATGAACTGTTCAGCTCCTTTTTTGGTCCATCACAGCGGGCTTGTATGTCATTTGTCAACCAAAATCGAATTAAAAACTTTTTATTTGGTCTGGCTACCTCGCCAATTTCTTAACTGGATCGTTTAGTAGCTTTTGATTGGGCAATGTTCACGTTGTCTGTCTAGCTTTTCGTGTCATAGACACTGTCTATGACACGAAGAAAGGCTGCTGACATCGTTTGTCGCAGTTGGATAATACCAATCCACGTCCCAGTGGCTGCTCGATCGCACTTTCCCTGGCCCACCTCTCCCACCAGGCTAGACTTTGCACGGCACAGCCGTCGCCTCAGTGCCACGGGCGGTGACCCGTTCAAAGGGGCTCACAATTCGTATGGTGCCGTGGCTCTCAAACCAATACAGAACAGTGAAACGCAAAGGCTCACTTTCCATATAAGGCGAACGGCTGATTCTGGCGCCGGGGCTTCATTCATGCTAAGGGACCCAATCACAGCGCCGCATTTCAGTTAGTGTCGGGCGCAAAAGCTACTATGCTCCGCCCCTCCATCACGTGATCCTGCCCTCACGTGGCCTCAGTCACGTGGTGTTTCCACTTCTTGGCGCATGGCGGCGCTAGTCTCGCAAGGGCGGTGGTAGCTTGCTCCCCCGCCGTCCGGGGGTGATGGGTAGCAACTGCTGGTGACTGTACATGTACAAATCGGCAGCTACTTGGTAACATCCGACATCCCATTATCGCATTATCTGCAACGCCATAGGCTACAGGTCAGTGACGTACCCAAGGGGGGGGGGGGCACGGGGGCCAAGGCCCCCCCCCTGAGCGCCGAAGGCGCTCAGGGGGCCCCTCAGGCCCCAGTATATTTTTTATACACTGGATAAAACGTCTTTACTCGGAAGAAAAATTGATATTAAAGTTTCATTTATGTGCCCTGGGTACCCGAGGGGCCCCTTCAGTCATCCAAGGGCCCCCAGTTTCCTGGGCCCCTGGTCGCCTAGGGGGCCTCTGGTAGCCGGGGGCCTGGTCTCATGGGGGCCCCTGATAGCCTGTGGCCCCTAGTCGCCTAGGGGGCCCTGGTCGCATGGGGGCCTCTGGTCGCATGAGGCCCCTGATCGACTGGGGGCCCCTAGTTGCCTAGGGGGCCCTGATAGCCGGGGGCCTGGTCGTATGGGCCCCTGATAGTCTGTGGCCCATAGTCGCCTAGGGGCCCTAGTCGCATGAGGGGCCTCTGGTTGCATGATATTGAGGCCCCTGATCGCCTGGGGGTACCTAGTCGCCCAGGGGGCCCCTGGTAGCCGGGGGGCCTGGTTGCCTGGGGCCCCCGGTCGCCCCTAGTCGCCTGGGGACCCTGGTCGCCTTAGGCCCCTGGTAGCCTGGGATCCCCTGGTTGCCTGGGGGCCCCTGATCGCCTGAGGGCCGATGGTCACCTAGAGGGCCCCTGGTCGCCTGGGGGCCCCTGGTCGCATGGGGGCCCCCTGGTCGCCTGGGGGCCCCTGATCGCTTTGGGGACCTGATCGCATTGGCCCTTGGTCGCCTGGAGGGCCCTGGTCGCCTGAGGCAGTGGGCCCCTAGTCATCTGGAGGACCTGGTCGCCTGGGAACCCCTGGTCGACTGGGGGCCCCTGGTCGTCTGAAAGTACGCTTATCACCTGATTGATCCCAAATCATCTGAGTGGCTACTGGCTACTGGATATAAGTAGTGACTGGAGTAGGCAGTAGGCACTCATCTGAAGGAGCCAATATATATCTTTCACGGTGCCGGAGATATCACAGAAAAACAAAAAGGCTAAACTGAATACCCCCCAACCTTGGCCTCAAAGGCGTCATTGGCTAACACAGGGATGTGGGTCGATTTGCAATCGCATTTCCTCCTAAGTCCTATTCCTCCAATTAATACAGAGTGTCCCAGAATTACCCAAGCATTTATTTTCTGGCTAAAAGTACAATTGCGCTCGATTCCTAGTGAAACATATAATAGCCGCGTTTACATAGGGCTAGTTGCCAGATAGTGGAATTCCGATAACGAGACATTTATTCCCCACTATTATATTATATACCTACATATCCGGAATTGGAGGATGTTCAGTAATTGAGGCGCTCGCTCATAAAATGCCGTGCGTTTCATGCACACTCCTCAAGCAAAAATATTTTTACTTTCCAATTTTCCACATTTTCTCAAGGCTTAGACCGTTACAGAGACCGTTTTAATTGACTTTGATGAAGTTGAACGCGAGAAATCACAACCAAATGCTACATTAGGTTGTAAAGAACTGAATTGCGTTTTCCCACACACGTGGCGTTTTCTCACCTACGTCTGCAGGAGAGACCGGACCCACTATGCCCCCCCCCCCCACCATCGAAAGGTTCTTCATGAGTCATGACTCCCGGGGGCCCCCGGGGAGCCTGGGGGGCCCTATACACTGTGGGGGGCCCCTTCGAAAGCAGGTGGACCCCTGCTGGGCGAAATCCTGGGTACGTGCCTGCTACAGGTGAATACACAGGTGAAATATACAGGTGAATATTTCCTAACCTTATGTCAGTTATATGCCATCTGCCCGTCATTTGCAGCTTATAAAAAAATGAAACAAGTATCAGCGAACATATCAGCATTGTACAAGCAATGCGCATTGAGCATTTATGGCTCCTCAGTCATCATGTCGCTCTTTGGGCACTGTCAGCCAAGACGTTACGCACAACTCCGCCGGCTTTCGGCACCGCTCGACCGTCCCTGCTCCCCGCCACAGCGAGAGTGACCGCGCGCCGGCCCGAAACCGCCGCAGGCCAAGACCACAGAGGCGGGGCATAGCTGTGACGTTATAACGTATCACAGGCTGACTGGTGATAGCCTCTACACACCGGGTGAAAATCTTGCTTGAAATTTAACATTACGAGTCAATGAGAAGTGCCTGAAATATTGAAATGGCGATAAAATATCTTAATTGTAAAAGTTTCGGCAGGTCTTGAAACGGCCATGTCCTGAGCTTGGTTGAAATTCTTCCACGCATTTAAAAATAATCGCGAAAAATTAGGGTCTCAAGGGGTCTGGCGTTAACAGTAGGTGCCACGTCTCGAGGCAATGAACAGCTACGCAAGAGCCGTGTTGACGGCGGCCGAGATCCGACAGGTGGGGCTGGCGCAGACATTCCGTCCCGGCTTGGTCAGGTGGGCAGCGCAGCTCAGTGATCGGGCCGATCAGTGTGCATATAACAGTGCTTTCATCCCTCCTCGCCATCCTCAGGACAATCCCCCCCTTCCTCTCCCTGTCCGGGCTGGCCGTCACCCCACCTGACAACTGGTGGATGAGGCTGGGACCACTCCGATCCATAAATCCTCTCCGGGATGACCGTTTGGGAGGCGGTCCCAACGGGACAGTCCGTCTCCCAAACAAATCAGAAGCAGATTTAAAAGAGCTAGATCTCTGAGAGCATATGTATTGTGTCATCACGGTAAAGAGCTCCTCACAGAAAGTTGGAAACTGACACTCTCACACGCACGGTTTGCGCCCACCGGTCGCTCGGCCGATGGCGGCGGCGGAGAGTCGTGTTAGCGACGACCTGGCCTCCTACCGACCTCCGTCGGGCCGTGTTTTGATTTGGGATCGGTCGTGGCGCGGCACCCACTCGCTCGGTACGCACGGAGTTGAGTATTCCGCCCGATATATCACAGCGCCCGTCCGCGGAGCGCCCGCCAGCGCCGAGCGACGCGCGCGTGCGGCGGGCCCGCCCGGCGGCGAGCGGTCCGCACACGCCCGCTCCGCGCTTTGGCACCGCTTTGCAGATGGGTTATGCAGGTGAATACATGCTACACGTATTCGTATCCTAATGTATGAATATATACATACCCCGCCAACAATGAGCGTATAAGATGTCCCAGCCCACCTTACGAGCTAATAACTGGCGTCTGACAAGGCGAAGTGTTCTCAATCGTCTTCAACAAGCGACTGAATCGTTCTTCAGTGCAACTCAGGGCGAGTACATATTGAAAAACGCAAAATGTACAAACTCGATAGGCCTTTTGGCCTGCATTCACATCAAACCTTGCCGTATCACACACGGCAGAAACAAACGCAAACACTCGAAGCGACCTCTCGGCCTGATTTGTGCTTTTCCGGGTCACCTCTCCCCAGTGTCCCCGTGACATTCGCGTCGCCGGCGCGGCGGTAGGCGGAAAACTTGTCCACTGCGGGGTGAGGCTCACAAAAGCTGGGGTGTGCCGGAATCGACCGCGTGTGACGTATTGGGCGCATCAGTGACAGGCACACGAAAGCTGTGGACGCTGGCGGCGCAGTGTGCCCCAGGCACTTTAGCGGGAGGCGGCGGATGAGGTCGGCCGGCGACCGCTGTGCGTCCCACAGTCCGTCTCAGGGGGCGCAGCCGGCGGGAAAGACATGTTCCTGGTACGGTACGTGCGGCGCGTCCGGGCCGAGCGGGGGCGGCACGGCGGTAGTCTCCGGAGACAGTCACCGGTACTTTGTGCCGCCTGAGAGTCCGCCAGGCGCTGAAACCTCGCGGCGCGGGGCAGGTACGGCTCGCAGCACCCAGTCTGGGACCACACCTTCATCAGTCACGCAGCAACAGCGGCAGGCGGCGCAGACCAGCTGCAGTCAGCGGCAGGCACTTGAGCGGGATTGCAGTCCGGGGGCGGCGGCGGCGGGGGCGGGGGCGGCGCACTACCGCGGCGGCGTCTGGGACCGTGTGAGCAGCGCGTGCGCGGCTCGCTCGAACTGGTCAGAGGTGAGCTCCATGGCCTCCTGCATCTCCCGCCGCGTGGTCTGCACAAACTGGGCGTCACAGTAGGCCCCCAGGCCCTGGTCGGCCAGTGCCTGGCGAACACACAACATATGACGTGATTAATCACAGAGATATATCAAATCCACGAAGTACACAAGACGGAAAGCGCCAAAGTGAACTATTTTAGTGGTGGCAGGCCTACTGCACGTAGGACTACATTTACCTAAACAAGGCATAAAATCAATTTGAACCTTTTTGTGACTACTTATTAATCACAATCACAATATAATATAATATAATCACAATATAATCACAATATACTTTTACTGTCCGACTTCACCTGTCATTGGGTGCAAGCCCGTTGGTGATTATTCAATAAACAAATAAACAAACAAACAAACAAACAATCCCGAGTGAAAACGTTGCATTGATTCCTGGTGCCCTTTTCCTAATTGTAATCCGTTTTACTTGCAAATCTGAGCCGGTATACGTAATCATGCCATAGAGACGGTCCGATGTCGCCTACCTGCCCGACCAGGTTCTCGGCGGAGCCGATCAGACCCTGGAGCGGTCGGTCGGGTCGGTCGGCCGGCTGCTGAGGGCTAGTCGGGACCGAGCGCGACTGTCCGACGCGCCGCTGTGACGGGTGGACGGCTGCCACGTCACCACCGGTCACCCGGGCTGGAACTGAGGTCAGAGGTCACAGGTCACCCGGGCTGGAACTGAGGTCAAAGGTCAGGGGTCATCCGGGCTGGAACTGAGGTCAGGGGTCACCGATCACAGACAGTCTGACATACGGACAGTCTAACTGGAACATCCCATTGGCTACTGACAGTCCGACATACAGACATAAGGTTCTCGATTTGGCGCTACTGAGGAAGTTCTTTGGACGTCTCACGGGTCATTAAACCGGCATATATCATTGTACATTTAGCTCGCGCATTTTATCGTCCAGCGAGTACTTTTCTGCCAACTGAAGATAGAAAACCATTATGCGCCCACCTTTAGCCCATGCCGGAATCGGAAAGGAGCGAGCGAAATTTCCGTGACGAAACTTTTTAGAATATTTGGGCACAAGACTGCAAGAAGAAGGATAGAAATGGGAGGCTGCTTGCAAGCTGCAAAAAGCTTGATATGCATGCCTATTGCGACGAAACTTAGCTGTTCCGAGACATGCTTGTTCGCCACTATCGGCAACTAACTAAAAAGAGATATCCTGACGGTCCTCCTTTGTTCAATGCATTGCTAACGCAGTCCACAACTCATCCCGGGGCACCACATTGCTATTTGGTAATTGCATGAATGTTTTACCTAATAATCACACGTCCAGAAAATGGGAAAAGTTCATGCGTGAAGAGAAAGGCCGGTTGACAAGCCAAGAACCACCATGCATTGCTTCACAAATCATAGTCGGCTGCATCACCTTCCGAGTTCAGATGCGCTGACATGCTACAGGGAAAGCTGCAAAAGCCTGTTTTGAAAACCGGATATATGAGAAAATGCGTGAAGTCACCTGCGGGAAATATAATATATATCAAGACAAGAGAAGACCGTCTTTTTACCGGGCAATAGACATCCCACTACAGCCGCAGAGTCGTGCCCGGAGCCGAATGGACAAGAACGACATTTGGAGCCAGAACGGAGAGAAACCGTCTGACCTGAGCCACCGCTCACCCCACCGACCTATGGTGCCGGGGGCAGCCGGCGAGGAGGGCGAGCGGCCGCACTGCGCCAGCCGCCGCCGCCGCGCCGCCGGCGTCTCGGCCGGCTCTCTGTCGCAGACGTCCTCTACGCTAGGCAGGCTGCGGCTGCTGCCGCGCCTGCGCACCGCGGAGCACACAGCAGTCGGTCCTCCGCACACGAGAGGACACGAGAGGACACTCGGCGACGGAGGAAGCGTTAGTGCGAGTGGGTCAGCGGCAGTATGTAGTTTAAAGATGTTAAAAGCAAAGCGGAACGCGTTAGATGGGATGTGATAGAATATTGAAAATGGTTTCACAGTGCGGGTGTGTATAATGTATTGTGCTTTACGGCGGACGTAAAAATCATCGAGTCAATGAGCACACGCAAACGGAGCTTACCATCGTTAGGACTCAAAAACATGGCAGATTTTCTGGAAAACAGTAATGGCGAATAAATAAAAGAAATCAAAAGGCGCGGTTACGTTTAATGCTCATTAATGAATACAAACTTCAATTATCTCTTCATGACTGATTTACGCATAGGCTTCAAGAAACCCGTAACTTAGTTTCAAAGATATCTTATAAAGCTGTCTTCACCCTCAGCGTCTGCATATCAGTTTCAGCATAGCGGCTGGGTGGTCTGAATGATCCGTTTAGTTTTACTGGCTATTTCTTTGGTCGCTCACCTGCCGCTGGGGTTGAAAGCCTGCATTGGGATGTCCTCCGGTGTGCCGGAGAAGTCTGAGCTACCTCCGCCGCTCAGAGGACGATGCCTTCCGTTCGTCACCTGGCCGGGCAGGGGTCGGGGTCAGAGGTCCGACACATGGGATCAGTGGTCAGTGAGAGCGGGTGCTGGCGTAAGAGAAATAAACAGAATAAAAATGAGAGAAGGAAAAAACAAACTGAGACTGGTGTCTTCAGCTGCACTCCACTAGCACTCAACACAACAACATATTCGAAGAAAAGTGCATTTGGTCTCCGTCCCTTCGTTAAGTTGGCGAGCTGAAATGTGTTGTTGTTAGCCATTTCGAGTCTAAAACACAGCTGAGTGCTACTTTGCCATGGCGTCGAGCATGCTTTACGCCATCCGCTACAACCGCGAGTTGCGGCGACACTGGTTCAACTTGCTGCCGTGGCGCTACTTCAAAAAGGTGGACCAGAAAAGCCTAATCAAACTAGCTACAGCTACCGATTGTGTATAAAACAACTATCCCAAGCCTCTCGGCAGAATCGAAGTTCCCAGACTATCGCGATTACAGCCGCAGTATCTAATTGTACGAGCATAATGTGCTAAAGTGCCTTCAAACTAGTGAACCAGTAAGCAGTGTCATACTACCAAAGCCACACGTGTGCTTCTGCTGAAAACCCATGCACGTCAAAAAGTGCATTTTCTGTGTATGCTGTCAACTACTGTCGACAAAATGTAATGGATTGCAGTCGACGTCGAAAACTGACCAACCAGTAGCAGCTCGATACTTACGCGTATCCGCGGCACGACAAAATCATCCTGAAACGACCCATCGTGCGAAAGTGATTAGCAAAAAAAAAGTTTATTTCGAAAAAGAAACCTGCTGAAGTCTTGAAGTAAGAACTCGAGTAGGTACTTTACCTGCCATACCCAATTACATCCATCATTCCCAAAAATTAGAGCGTGCTTGCGCTTTTCGAATGGTTATTGGCACCGGTTTACATAAATCAGCACAGTTTTGTCAGACTGAAGTGAAATGGTTATTTTTTTCAGGATTATAAGTGTCGAAGAATCAAAATCAGTCGAGAATTGAGACAACATTACAGAAAACATGAAAGTCCAGCGTTTCTTTGCGGCATTTGAAGCTATGGGCCCAATCTTATAAAGGTTGTGCTACCAAATGGCGTACTATCATTCCACCCCACTCTATTTACGGCACCCTATTCACGCAATCTTATAAAGAGAATAGTATGGTAATTCTATTCACGCCATTTTGCCCACAGTACAAATCAACGCCAGCAGGAAACACGCAACTTGATTGGTCAATGTCTTGTCGCCGTCGCTATTGGAAATTATGCGTACTGTTTGCGAACAGCAAAAGTTATGTGTTTTAATTTTTATCGGGCATTTATTTCTTTTAGAGACACACATATGTGTAATGAATAAGTTATTTATGGAAAACGTGATAGCAAAGTATGGAAAACACCAACATGCTTGAAGAATTCTCCTGAAAAGTGGATTGCCGACCAAATAAATTTCAGCGAGGGCATTCTCGCGCTCAGAAAATCGAGTGAATAAAGTGTTTCTTCAACTTATCATTTGCATTTATTTGCTGTTAAGGCATTGCAATAAATTTGTTAAAGAATTATTTAAATAATGAGTTAATCATAGCTCGGCTACTGTTTCAGTAATTGAAGTAATGCCGTTGACAATGAAGCTCCTACAATTTGAGCATTAAGATATACGTACATTAACTGGATCAATTCAAGATATAGCTTATTTTCCTTCTTGTCATAAGCTCTTGACATTTTCCTCCATGAAGATAAACTACTAAAATTCGAAGATTACGTACATGAACTGAATTAGGTGAAGTTACAGCATATTTTCCTTCTTATTCAAGCATAGGTACCCATTACCTAACCTAAAGCTAAAAAGCAATTCCTCAAAAGATTGAAGAACCGTCTACATAGCAAAGCTACATCAAGAAAAATACTCGGTTCAGAAGTCAGATCGAGATGCAGGAGGAGAAACAACAGATTGATCCGTAACTGTGCCAGACAGAAAGTAAGGAAATACGAATAGTGAGTAGGCATTTACAATTTTTTTGACAAACTAAGGTATATCATTTATTTAAATATCTAATCAGAAGCCATGAAGTGTCCGTTATTTGTGTCATACGTGAGACGTGAGAATAGGCTAAAGACCCATACCGATTCTACAAGGTGCAGTGGCTGCCGAAAATCTAAGACGGTTACTGGTGCTAAAATCCTCTTAAAAATCCCCTTTAAATTTGAAAAATAAAGCCATTTAACGATGAACACTCGTTTTTAGGTGTTTTAGTGTGCATTTAGTTTCTGGAAATACATATTTTGCAATTGATCGTTGTCTGCATAATAAGCATCATTATAATAAATCATGAGTTAATATGTGGAGGAGGTTTAAATCTTAAAAATATCATAATGTAAAATATTGCATACCTATATCATAAAAACGTAGAATTTATCTTAAATCAATGAAATTGTCTGAGAAGCTCGTCAAAGTACGCCACAAATTCTGGCGTGAAATGGACGCCGCTGAAACCGCAAACAGCTGATGATTGTCGGTGTTTTGAGATGTGCACAGCTGCTCACGGCTGAAATCATTCTACGGCACATCCAAAACTGGCGGTTACCAAAACCGTAAAGAGCGTGCCGTGTTTTCGATTTCACAGAGCTTTATAAGATTGCGTACTATATATCCAGCCTTAGAGTGCTGCCATATCCATTTCACGGCGTTTATAAGATTGGGGAGCGCTAAGGTGGTTGCCATCGGTGCTCGACTAGCATATAGAAAGCATATTACATAGTAGGTATGTATTATTTGTTCTGCATCTGCAGATCTGTCATTGGTTGATATTGCTATGCATCACCGCAATTACCCTCACTCCTCAGTGCTCAGGTCTCAAAGATCTGTTAGCTGTGTGACCGTCGACTGGACTGCAGGGAGAGCCTCTATGTAATCTATCCCACTCGCTCCTATTGGCGTGCCGGGCGAGGAAAACTGCTTACGTGAGCGGGCGCCGCGTTCCGGATGGTCCTTCCTCCGTGTGGTTGGCTGTTGTGTCGCCGAAAACTGGACCACACTCGGCCGAACAGCACGTGGTTTCTCTGCAGGTCACAGCGGAGGTCATTTAGGCCCAGACAGATGGGTTGAAATGCTTGAAGACATGTTAAAACTGAGCCAAAGGCCTGTGTAGTTTCCAAATAAAACTTCCTCCAGACATTGAACTTCAAACCCTTCACCTACACTCGTCTTACTCGATCCGCTAAACTCCCTCGTCTTACTCAGTGGACGGGAGTGCTGCATATGTGGACATAGCTCACTCAGTGGTTAGGAATGTGTCGCTAACTGTTCAATAGCTCACCCGATGTGTGGGAGTGTCGTCAGCCACCATCTGGTCCAGGTTACCAGAGATGGCCCGCTTCAGCTCGGGCCCCGCCTCGTGCAGCGTTCTCAGGCCCGCCTGTGGCCGCAAAACATGGTCAAGCTTCAGCAACAGTCAATCAGTGGGTATAAAGATACAGTAGTCACGTTAATGACTACGATGAAAGGCTCACGTTTTGAGCACAAAGTTCGCAAAGGACAGATTCACACCAGCCAGGACAGATTCACACCAGCCAATACCTTACATAATATATTCTCCACTGATAATAACGTACGGCAAATGTTTTCCGCTGAACTCAACGATGTACATACTACACTTATAAGGCCGAGGAGATACTACAAACCGGGGAGCATTCATTCTGGCCAGGGTTCATAATGTCCAGCCCTACAAACCAATGATTATGTATCGATGATTACCTGTAACGTGACGGTTGTTGAGTCTTCATCTCCGTCTTCTGGTTGCGTCTCGTCCTTTTTCTTCTTTTTAAACTTCCTGAAGTAGTCTTGTATGAGGAAGGTGGCGTAGAATTTGCCCACGGTCACGTCGTCGTCCACTGGGGAGGTGTTCATCACACTCAGTTTCAGGCTACGTGGACCGGAAACAGCTAATGCGACTTATCCCGCGCCCCGTAGGGGGGGGGGCCGAAACGGCCCCCCCCTGTCCTTTTCGGTCGATATCTCCTAAACGGCTGGAGATATCGCCACCAAACTTTCAGGACCCCTCCGGGCATCAATTTTACACATTGTGACCAAAAATTTTTCCAGAGGCTATGATAGGTTGGCCACAAATGACGTCAGAGTGACGTCATGTTCTGTCATTTTCGACCGAAAAAAGACCTTCGCGAGTAGACCTGTCAGGACTACAGCTTTGAAGATACAGAAAAATGATCAAGACATAAAAGGTGTAGAATTGACAGGGCTACAAAACTGCTATCTCGAATTTTTGAAATTTTTGAGTTTTGACCCCCAAAAATCAAAAAAGCATTTTTTGGATATATTCGCCAAAAAATCCAAAAAGTTTTTTGAGTTTCGAAAAAAACGGAATATATGTGATAGTGCCTACCGTCTTCTATCTACATACCAAATTTCAGATCGATACCTCGTTTTTTGGCCAAGTTATAGCGAAAAAACTTCAAAAATGATGACGTCAAATTTTCAAACTCAATTTTTGGCAATTCTAGAACTCGTAGAGCAAAACGAAGACCACCATTAGACTCCCCGTGACGAGCTGCATCGAATCGATACCCATTATATGCAAAAATATCAACTTTGAAATTTGACCTAATTTGACCTGACCTTGACCTGACCTTCACCAAAACGTGACCTAGGCTGGCCCCAAAGGCTGCCTAACCCACATAATCGCATTTGTCATGTAAAATGGACCATAAAACATGTATCACACGACACATTCATATTGTGACCCCCGGTGACCTGACCTCGCTGTGACCTGACCTGGTATCAGTGACCTCAGATAGCAAAGTATGTATTTGACGAACAATGTACCATCGATGGTTTTCAATAAATTACCAATTTACTCGCTTTCACAGCACATTTCTTGAATTGCCTGTGAACGGTGAAAACCTGACCTTTGACCTGACCTGTGACGTCATCGGTTTGACCTAGGTCAATGAAATTTGGTCACAAGGTAGTTCCCAGGTGGGGCTATCGAACGCCGTTTGAATTTTGAAAATCGGCCGGTAACTTTCCGAGATCTTAGGGGGGGGGGCCGAAACGGCCCCCCCCCCTACGGGTGGTAGGGTCCGCCGGTAGCCCTACGGGGCGCGGGTTATGACAGTCGGGAGAACATTATTTTGCTTCAAGTTACTTTAATCACACACGATTTAAGCTGGGACACTTTAATGGACGTTACCGCCGAAATGACGTAAAGATCAGTTCTAAGTTAACCATCTGGTAGCCCACTTTAGATATAAGCCTTCGGAAACGTTGTTTGAACCTTGCCTATTTGATGCGTCCCTCCTTCTTGACCCTTTTATTTGTCCAGTTTTCAAATCATAGATGTGGTTTTGATGTTATCAGCAGAACAAAACGTTCAGTTTATTGTGTTAATTTTATGAAGTGGTTGATAGGTAAACCATATGATGCTTACACAGTATTAGTCACACCAAAAAAGTTAGACTCAAATAAATCGTTAGACGCACAAGGCAAAATGATAGTTGCCGTGCCATTCCAAAGTCTTGGGTGATTCATTGGTGATTAAGTGCATTGTAACTTATAATCGCACGTTGAATGATAAAGGAGGGCAGTGTACAATCACATGGCCGTGTAGCATCCAGTCGCTCCGATTGTGTGTTAGTGCGTGCGGGTGAGTTAGTGCCGGCGCGTCACGGCAGAGCAGCGCGTGCGGTGAGTTGGCGGCACACGGACGGCACCTGCTCACGGCACGCGGCTCCTTACCACCCTCACCGCCTGGGGGCGGGACCACCTGATCCAGCAGCGTCGGAGACGTCCGCTTCCACACTTTCTTGATGATGGCGCGCAGCTCGGCGTTCATGTCGTCAATGTTGCCGTCGGTTTTTATCCTCAGTGATGTCCTCACCACGGCGAACAGTGTGGCGTTAAACATCACCGTACCGTCCGCGTTCAGAGGCATGTTCATCGACACGAGTCTTTTGCACGCCACGCGGTGCGGACACAGTTTGCCGAAGCCGAGCGGCGGAGAGATTTTCCGCAGCAGGGTGACGACGTCGACGTGTTTTATTCGTCCCTTGGCGTCGGGGTCATACTCGGACCAGAGCCGCACAAACTCGTCCAGGTGGTGAGGGCCCAGGATGGACCAGTCGCGCGTCAGGTAGTCAAAGTTGTCCATGATGACGGCCACAAACAGGTTGATGACCTGTGGAAGATTAACAAATGTAATCACTTATGACATAAGGTGTTTATAAAATGAAATACAATAATATACGAATAAAATATGAAAAAGGTAAAATAATGGCCTGCAATTTCGGGAGCCGATAAATGGTAAATACACGGATGTTCCTTGATGAGGTGTCCAAATGCCTCGTCTTTTTTCTTCGCTAACTGTAGTTATTAATCGCTTACCAAGAACGAACAGAGCACGTAGAAGCTGACGAAGTAAGGTATGGCGAACACGGTGCCACACCCGCCTTTTCCGTCTGGGACCTTAGGGTCGCACTCGCCATCCACGCACGCCAGCATAATCTCCTGCCACGCCTCGCCTAAAAAAAAAAACACATATCATGTTTCAGTATGGACACATTGAACTTCATTTGCAATTTAGTTTTAGGTTTAACTATCTTTTATAATTATCTATGATAATGAATTCATGTTCTTGTTGGTGTTGAGTTTATCTGCTAGCCACAGCTCCCCATTCATCCGTCAGTCCAGGCGGACTAACTACTGACCTGTGGCCGAGCGGAACAGCACCAGCACGGCCTGCGGAAACGTCTGGAAGTTGTTGTTACGGTCTATCGCCGTGTCGTCGTCGATCGCGATTTTACCAAACACCTGGAATGAAAGGGATGTGGTGATTACACATCGATGTGGTGACAATCATCGCATGCTCGTTTAGATATGAAAACTGAAGTGTAACGAATGTCTAGGTGGTACTGCAGGGCTATAGACCTCCGGTGGTTCTTTCGACCACCAATACATAGCTGACTCTGAGTCACCAGCACGTAGCTGACTCTGAGTCAGTCTGAATGAGCTCGCGCCTCGCACCGTACCTGCATGCCGACCACAGCGTAGATGAAGAAGAGCATGACGATGAGCAGTGCGACGTACGGCAACGCCTGGAACGACTTGATGAAGGTCCAGAGCAGCGTACGGATGCCCTCGCCGCGCGAGAGCAGCTTCACCAGACGCATTACTCGGAACAGCCGGAAGAAGTTGATGCTGATCATCTGTGTTTCTTGTTGCTGTAAAACGTTCATCGGGTTAGACTTTGGAACATGAATATACATACATGATTTGGAATGATGCGATGTAATGAGGAACGCCATTCATCACAAGTTAGATCTACGCAGTCGGTGAATTCGATGCCTTTTTAGTTATGTGCGACAACACAACAGTCATGGTACAACGTTACTGATTTCTTTGGTAACTTACCATCACCAAACCGAGAAAGATGTCAATGAAGGACCCCAAGACAATGATGAAGTCGAACACGTTCCATGGGTCGCTGAAGTAGTTCTGCGAAGAGGAGATCAAATATCTAAAGGTGTGAGAAGCTGAATAAGGTGATCATGTTTCTCTTGCTCTGAGGAATGACATAATTTAACATCAATATCAAATTAATCTTGCAAAGTCCGACCGATGCCCCTGAAGGACAGAAGAATTAAAGGGACTATCCCACCTTTAACATGGGGTTTGAGTTGAGATAGCCAAGTTTGCGGCGAGGTTCAGAAACCACTATCTATCTAGGTTGCAACCCCCGCGGCCTCTTGGTGTTGAAGAAATTCGTTCCCTTCATTTGAAAATGGGCCTTGTACAAGGCCCTATCTTCAGCATGGAGCGACCGTTAGTGTGACGTCACCTCGTTTAGTCATTCTGATTTAAATGGGTTTGTTCGTTGAAAAATCGCTTAAAACTTGGTCTGAACTTTGTTGTGGTGCCTACAGAGTAAAAAGAATCAGCTTTATGACAGTAATGTGGCCTGGGGAAGAAGGTAATTTTGGGCTGTGACGTCACATATTTGAAAGTTTGTGTTTGGAATATGGGAAGCCTAAGATGTTTAATGAAAAATAAATGCCAGAACCGTGTTCCTGGTCATCCAATCTATAAAGTCGGGCACAATTTAACTGGTTTTAACAACATTTTAGAAGGTGGGATAGTCCCTTTAAGTCCAAACTGTGCCGTTTTATTCAATAAATGTAGACTCACTTTGATGTCAAAGGTATCGTTATCATATTTCTTTGCCACCTGTACGACGTTAACAAATAGATAAGTTTTTTTTTCTGCTGTAAGACTTTAAGTGTAAGCCCTTCCCAGTTCCTAACCACAAGATCATAAATCTCTTCCATACGCATGGAATCTCTAGCATACCTTAAACCGGAAAGCCAGCAGCTTGAGCACACACTCGATGGCGAAGGCTGACGAGAAGATGTAGTTGAGGATGTCGAGCGCCTTGGTGTACGCGGCTGGCTGGCCGTAAAAGCCCATGGCGAGTGTGATGGTATTACAGAGGATGAGTACGAATATGAAGTACTCGAAGGGCTGTGAGGTGACGAACCACCACACGCGGTACTGGAGACGGTGCTTGGGGATGTAGCGACGCACCGGGCGAGCCTTCAGCGCGAACTCCATGCAGTTCCTCTGGCATGAGGAGGCGTCATAAGTAAGCTGAACAGTCTTTGGCTGACATTTTAACGTTAAGGCTGAATTCATTTTGTACATTGTACTTTTTGATATTTTCAAACTGTTGTTTAAAATTTCAATGGTTGCCAATGGCCCACTCGAATGCTCGTAATGAAACAATCAACGTTTTACAGATTATTTTTTTTTAATCTAAATGAACCTTCCAAGCTTACCTGGTTTTTGTCCAAATCGATGTTTTTATACTCCTGCTCTCCCTCGCTCTGGAATGTGACGATCACGAAACCGACGAAGATATTGACCATGAAGAAGGCAATGATGATGATATAGATGAAGTAGTAGACGGCCACCATGGGTCGGTAGTTGTAGACGGGACCCATATCCTCCGTATGGGAGTCGATCGAGGTGTACAGAAGACTGGAAAATAGGAGTGCTAATCAGCATTTACAGCATTCATTCGAAGGGATACGTGTGCCGGGAAAAAATAATTATGATAATTGTAGGGTAAGGACGACTTGATAATGAAGTTTTAAGGCGCCTATGAAAGTGGTTTAGATTTTGGCACAGTTACGCGTAAAACAAAAAAAAAAAAAACACACACACACACACAGGTTAAGGAATCAAGGCTCCTTATCCCAGTCCTGCGTACTTCGGCCAACCCTCGAAGGTAGAGACGGTGAAGAGGGTGAGCATGGCCTTTCCGACGTCGTCGAAGTGGAAGTCTGATCTCGTCCACTCCCGTTCCTCCACCGTGGGCTTGGAGGCGTCTCCCTCCACGTGAGTGACGAAGGAGCCCCTGCGAGCGAGACACACCTGCTTAGAGTCATCAACCCTCACTGGTGATCACCGAGGCCGCTAGACGCAGTCAGGCGAATGTTTTTGGTAAAATGTGAGGTTCATGTTCACAATTGTTACGAAAAAAAATGCTTAGGCTTAACGCTAGCTTCAAGCTACCAGTCTCTTATTTGTACCTATTGTTACTTTATAATTTACCTGAATTCCACCCAGTTCCGTTAAATACCTTCAAATCCATTCCAGTCAGTAATCACCTATCACAGCTCTTCAGTAGACCACTCACTTGCATTCGTCCTCGGTGATTTTAGACGTGTCGCTACAGGTGAAGAACTTCCCCTTGAACAGCTGTACGCCGATAACGGCAAACATGAACTCGAGCAGACACGTGACCAGCATAATGTTCCAGATGGTCTTGATGGCCACGATGACGCATTGAACCACGTGCTGGGAACAGAGACGGCATTTGTTAGGTTATACTCGGCTCGTCTCAGACTCTCATCAGTGGCATGTGTCTGCTGATAAGTTCATCGCTACATAGAAGGGGAGAGCCAAACACTAACATTTTGAGTTGCATGTCGAATTAGACTGAAATATAGAATATTGAATGTTTTCGGAACCAAAGTCTTTCGACTTGAGCTCCTATGTGACTAAAATATTTATGCAATTTTACCGAGATAACGGAAAATGCTTACCTTGAGTCCTTTCGCCCTGTTGATGGCCCTGAGGGGTCGCAGGACTCGGGCCACACGGAGAATCTTCACCACGGAGATGGCATCGGCTCTGAAGTAATGGCAATGAAAATATGAGATGCTGCTACCTCAAACAGATTATCTTTATGCAACTCGACAGGGAATATTAGTTACTACTTTCTAATAAGCTGCCTGTTCATGTAAATAATTCGTCGGCACTTCAGATAAGACTGCAAACATTTAAGTGTGATGTCTCAATATTACGTTACAATTCATTGCAGCCCAACTTCAGGTAGCTTCACTACTTTACATGGAAACTAAGATCGCTTGTCATTTGTCAAAGCCTCTGGTTAAGGAAGGTGTTTTCACGGCCACTGTGAATACAGGCTGTACCGCGCGGCAGCGCTGTATTGCGGTACAGCCTACCAAGCAAGGTAGCATCGCTGATTCCAGTGGAGGAGTGTAGAAACGTTCAGTACGGATGCATTACATGTTTGCTTGGTCGCTGATGTCACCTAAAAAATCATCACACCATGGATGATTCAAAAAGTTGTTTGAAAATAAATGGCAGTGGACTTACGACGAGGCAAACGATATGAGTGAGACGGCCACCACCAGCAGATCGAGCAGATTGAAGGCCGACCGACAAAAGGAGCCCGGGTGCAGGATAAACCCGTAGGCGATCACCTTGAAGCCGATCTCCAGCGTGAACACAGTCGTGAAGAAGACATCAAAGTTATTCAAAATCTGAAAATAGCGACGGGATATCAATTGGTGAAACCCATATCAGACTCGGTCCGAACTAGTTTATCGTTTTTTTGCGGTTATATTATGCAAATATATTCAACATCAGAGTTCTAGCAAGTGCAAACAGCATAAGGACCGTCGTCTCTCCTCTCCTACTGACCCTATTTCGGCTGGAGTTGTCGCTGGTCTGGATGGGATCCTCGGCTGCCAGCATGGCTGACGACACTAAGATGCACACCAGAATCACGTTACCGAAGTAACTGTGGTTGCAGAACCAGTGACAGAACACCCGGAAACTGTGAAACAAATGCGAAAATGTAGGCATCGATTCAGACAGACAATTATCAGTTTTGCACGCCTTCATACTGGACTGCTTTGCAAATGGTGTTAACTATTTTCACTGTGAATCAGAGGATGGTAGCTGTGGTGAAATAAGCGGGATGTGCTTAACCCTATTCCTGGCGGGGGGGGGGGGCCTCAGGAGCCCCCCCTGAGGTTTTTTGGTTATTTCTCCCAAACGCGTTGAGCTAGGAAGCTCAAATTTTCTGACTTTTCCTAAAAGGCTTCTCCGCAACATGTCTGAAAATTTTGAGTTGATCTGACCTCAGGTCAGGTCACCAGAGGCGGTTTGGTGACCCTACCTCAGAAAAGTTTGCAATCACGCCAGAGCTAGAGTTTTTGTCCGATCAATTTCTTCTCTTCAGGGTTTAGTTAGGGTACCAGTATGTGCAATTTGTATATCTCGGAATTTTGATATCGGTGACCTAAGGTCAGGTCAATTTCGCGACCTCCCCAATGATTATAAGTCAATGGGGGAAAAATCAACTCCCTGTTTTTACCACTAAAACGGGTCGGAATGGCCCCATATACCATACATGACTTCATATACGATCAACCTTCACTACCTTGAGGTCTGTTTTGCTGTTGGGCAGCTGTGAGGTCATGTGACGTCATCAAAGGTCACCAAAGGTTTTTGGCCAATAACTCCGTACAGGAACACGATACAGACGCGTGGATGGTCTCATTGTGTTCAGCTCGTCAAGACGCATCGAATGATATACATGATGACCTCGAGGTCACGTGACCTGAGGTCAACCTTTGACCTTGACCTTTCGAGGTCAACATATATATCATTCGATGCGGATTGACGATAGGATCACGATGATGCCCTTAGTTTGTTCCTATCTTGACTAATTCGAAAGTTATTCGAGAAAAACTCTCTCCATATCTAGTGCCGCCATTTTGACTTTTTCGACCCCTGTGACGTCATCTTTGACCTGACCTGAAAATGACCTTTGTAAAAATTGTAGATCTTGGCCGTGCGTATCCGATGCCGTTTACCGCTTGTCGCTATCTTGCTTCGTTCTCGAGATCTCAGGGGGGGGGGGCCGAATCGGCCCCCCCGCCAGTTTCTTGTCCCGGCGGAGCCCGCCAGGAATAGGGTTAAGCATACAAGGACAAGTAAATTTATTCAAGCTTAGAATATCTAAGAGGAATTAATAGGTACCTGTCGACATGACATATACCTAACTATACATTGTCTAATGCTAATCATGGCTCTGCGCAAAAGTGATGGAAATTTCAGCAAAATTCAACACCTTTCGTACATTATTGGGCTATCTAACTGCTGGCTAAAATTGTATTGCGCTTTTTAACGTTTAAAAAAGATGAAATACATTAGTTGGCAAATGTCTTTTTGGAACAACAGGTAGGAATTTCAAACTACTTTGCGACATACTACGCATATGTTTTTGGATTCCATAGACCGCTGTGCCGGTCGGCGCGCGTAAAATACTTATATGAATTTTTAACAATTTCATAAGTGGATATGTGCTCTATTGCATGCTAACATGCGATTAAACCAGCAGCGGCGGAACACCTTCAATTAAGGGGGGGGGGGAGGTGGCACTGTCGACTTTTGGTCCCATTCTTTTCATGCAGCGCCAAAGCGCTAATGTTAAAATGCCAAAATCAAGGGGGCACGGTGCCCCGGTGCCCCCTCTCTCCGTTCCGCCGCCTATGGATTAAACATAATGCTACTTCACGGTTTACATAAAAATGATTTGTTATTGTGAAACTATGACTAAACTATGCACACACGCAATGCAGGTGTCACAGAGACACTTGGCCCAATGGTCATCTCGATAAACCACAGCTGCTGTCATTAATTCACAATTGAATTGCCCGATAACGAATTGCTCTAGATTTCACTAATTGAACAAAATACCAAGTGTTTGAAAGTGATTGAAAAATAGTTTAAAACAAATATTCGAAACAGACAACGGTGCAAATAGTTTTTATGTCTTTGAATAACAAGTGCAACAAACAAAGAGCCATCAATTGCTGATGACACATGCTGAAATGACCCACCAAAATGACACACGGATGATGACACACCATAATGGCACAGGGTGATCACACGATGATGACAAGACAAGACGGGTGCGAATTGTGCGTTGTGGTTGGACGGACCGGATACCATTCTATGTCTAAGAAATCGACAATCATACACTAAATCGGCATAACAACTATGCAGAGGGTCATCGGTCTCAAAGACGGACCAGTGACCGTTCGGGATGGGTGATGACGTCACGGTTAGTTTCGTGCACGGCCACCAGGGGCGCTGTGCGGCACCGGCCGCCGCTCCATCACCTGTTGCTGGGACCAAACACGAAGAAGGACGTGTAAGGTGGGATGGGCTGGATCTTGGTCGGCTCCATCAGCTGGGAGAGCCGGCGCGGCCGCGCGCCCAGCGGTACCGCCTCGCCCTCGGCCTCTGCAACAGGCAGCCAACACAAGCCATCTAACGTCAACCGTGTCACCCACCGCCACAGCGCCTCAGGGCTCACCTGTTGGTCGGCGAGAACACATAGAAACTACTGAACGGCGGCATCGGCTTGACGCGCTCCTTCAGCGAGAGCACCGAGAGTCGGCGCGGTCTCATGGTGGCCGGCAGCTCGTCCAGCTCGTCGGCGCTCTCGGCCTCAGCGGCGGTCACGTGACCGTGGTGGAGACCCTTGTCGCCTGCGGGCGTCGCCGAGGGGTGAGGGGCGCGATCGGCCGCGGTGGGGTCCCGGGAAGAGGTGGATGAGGGGCGCAGGCAGTGGTTAGTTCAGGACATGGACGAAACAACGAGACCAAGTACCTACTGACACGCATTGGAGAGAGAGAGAGAGAGAGAAGAGAGAGAGAGAGAGAGAAGAGAGAGAGAGAGAGAGAGAGAGAGAGAGAGAGAGAGAGAGAGAGAGAGAGAGAGAGAGAGAGAGAGAGAGAGAGAGAGAGAGAGAGAGAGAGAGATGAGAGAGAGAAGGGA